CTCTCTCTCTCTCTCTCTCTCTCTCTCTCTCTCTCTCTCTCTCTCTCTCTCTCTCTCTCTCTCTCTCTCTCTCAGGGTTCAAAGCTAAACCCTAAACCCTAAACCGTAAACCCTAAACCCTAAACCCTAACAATCCTAATCCTAATCCTGCTGCAGCAACCACTGAGCATGCTGCTGTCAGGGGACCCTCACTCTTTTTTGGCATGACGTCAGGGTGAGTGATGACCCATCATAAGGTGATGTCGCCACCAGTAACCCATGACTAAAGGGTTACTGCAGCTGGCTGGATCCACCTCATCACGGCCTGGCTGGTGCAGCTGGGGCCACAGCAAAACAGCAGGTGCCAAGTTCTCAGGTGTGCACGCCTTGACTCAGCATGGTGTCACTTGGGCGGTGTCACTAGTGACCCCTGACCACGTGTGTGTCAACCTGTGACGTCAGCATGACTCCAAGGGGGTGAACCCACATACCCTAACCTGCCCAACTACATAAAAGAAGGTGCCCTACCTTGCCATCCAGGGTGCAGGTCCCACACACCCCTCAGACGACGCTCAAGGCGTTTCAAGACCAGGGGGAAATCCGTCGCCGCCAAAAACCGCTGTCCAGTCATTCAAAGATTTGAATCTAACCCCTCGTCGGAAAATATTACTTCCTCCGACACCCACATCAAGCGGGGCTGGTGGCCAGCAGGGCTGCCCTGCATTCGTTCGGTGTAAACAGCAATCAGTCTTTGAGCATGCAGCGGCCAGGTCTGCCTGTAGAGGCCCCTCACTTTTCTCAAATGACGTCATGGTGAGTGATGCAGAGCAGACCAGCACACACTTGGGGCCTTGGTGCACGCCTGCTTTGAACACTGAAAAGTAGCCACCTGAACCCCTGTGACGTTGGTGCGGGTCAAGCCCAATCACATGAGCCTGGATGGCTCCATAAGCAGGCAACCGCGGGACACCGTACTGTAATATTGAATCCGATCCACATTGCTGCGCAGGTCGCGCACAGTAAATTTCACCCTTTCAACCCTAAACCCTTTGAACTTGCAGCATTCTGCACACCGAATCAAAGTTCAACCCCCCCATCTCGGATGGCTCAGGTACAGGGCATGCAACAAACACATCCACCGTATCCTTGGATTGATCCTCCTGCCTTGCTAAGGCTGAGTACCCATAGTGAATTTACTAGAATGGAACGACATATCGCATCAAGACATTGTCACGTTCGTGGCTGCAGGTGCAGCAGGACAACAAGTACAATCCCACAGCCAGCACAAAAGCAATCTTCAAAGCAAGAGGGCGGCAGGTTGCTCCAACTACTAGAGTACAGGTGATTTCGTACAAAGGGGAATTTAGCTTGCAAGTCAGCCCTGCGCCATGAAGCCAAAGGGTGCGTTCCAGCACCAAGCCTTCAGCGCTTGGCAGATGCACCGATTGTGAGGTCACGCAAAAGCCACAAGGCCTGGGATCCGAATAGGGATCCCAGCCGCGCGCTGAAGGCGGTTGAGCATCGCGTCAGCAATCTGCTTCTTGAACAACTCATAGAGCAGGGTGCGGTTGAAGCTGTTTCACATGGGCATGTGTTGAGACATGTGGGGCATGGCGGGGGGCGATGATTGAGAGTAGTGTGATGAACAACAACTCGCGTGTACGCATTTTCCCCAACCCAGCCTCTGGGATCCCTTGTACTGAGAAAAGGAGGGTCATGATGCCACACCCTACCCACCTGTAAACCTCCCTCCAAGACGAGGGAGGGTGCGAATCAGGAGCTACGTTGTACTTGAGCACGCACAGGTCGCGCCAGAGGTCCTCGCCAGCGTCCACCACACGGCGGCAGCGCTTGCTGACGCGCCGCAGGCGGGCCAGCGCAACGCCGTCTCCCAGCTTGCTGGCGATACGGTGCAGCAGCTCGTCTGGTGCACGCTCCCAAAATGAGAGCGGCTCTGGTACGGCATGTATCGTGTGCTGCGGAAGATTGGGGCGATCAGAAGTGGAAACTGAAGTTGCTGTGCAGAACACAACCTCCGGTAGCGCAGATTTCATAATGTGCTGCTTACGGCACGACTCATTGATCCCCAGTGACGCTCATCAATGCCTGCTGGCAGTGTTCACTGCGTGTTGGCCCTGCGCCAATTTGGGCGCACAATGCAAGGCTGGTCCAGCAAAACCTCAGCACACAATTCTGCTGTGCTATGAATTCTGCTGTGCTACCACCTTATAGTGGTTGCCTTCACCTGGAACAGCGGGTGCACGATCAGAGGGCCAGGTGGCAGGACTGCCATCTTAGTGCTCGGCACGGGGGTGCTGCTCATGCTGCTGCCACACCGCTCAGGGACGACGCCGCACCCACGGCGCTGATGCTGTCGGCCGGCAAGACTGTCTAAAGTACAGCGAGCAGGATGACCCCGCTCGCTGTCAGGAGAATTGCGGCAACGTGCAGAGCAGAACGAACGACCAGGTGCTGCAGCAGCGGTCTTTGCGTTGAGGACCGCGCAGGAAGACAGATGCTCAGTGAGAATATGTGTATGTGAAGCAATGCCAATCTACTGCGTCAGTACTGTATACTATCATAAAGTGCCCTAAACGTGTCTCTGCAGATCATCGAAAGAGTTGCAGTGACATATAAGCATCAAGGGGACAGTGACAGTTCCTCTCTGTGTTATTTTCTACATCCACGCAGGATCTGAGCAGGGTATAGCGCAGGTTCTGACGCTCGCTGCAACCCGAGCGCAGCAAGCATTGACGAGGGTGCGGCGCAACCCTCTGGCACGCACGCACCGCCTCCGAATGGCCATGGCGACTGAGAGGCTGGGGCAACGCGTGGAGGCCCTGGGAGACATGCTCTCCGTGGTAAGAGCATTGCTGGGGCGCTGTAGCCCAGCATTTTTTTGAGGTTGCCACCGCGATGGACAGCGAGCGCTGTCAGCGCAAGCGTTGGCAACCTGGAAGTCCGCCCCTGCAACCTCTTTTTCAGCTCAACAAAGCCTGCCGTGCTGCCGTTGCACTGTGTCTTTTGCGGCACAGACTATTCCGCTGCACTCCTGCCTGCGTGCGTGCCATTGCAGCTGGGCCGACTGACCGATGAGGCAGGGACCCTGCTGGACGTGCTGGGCGGGTCGCTGGGCCAGCTGGGCGCGCTGACAGCGCCAATCCACTCCCGCGCAACGGCGCTGACAGCGGCGCAGCGCAACGTGGCGGCCACCAAGGCCGAGGTCGACTCGCTGCTTGATCACCTTGACACAGCCCGCCGCGTTGCGGGGCCCCTGGCTGCGGGTCCTGCATCCGACCTGGCGGCCTTCATGGAAGCCCTTGAGTCGCTGGAGCGCAGCGTCGCCTTCCTGCAGGGCCACGCCCGCCTAGCAGCCGTGCAGGCGGCACTCGGCCATGCGCAGGCACTCTTCAACCGTGCCCTGGAGACTTGCCACGCTGACTTCACCAGGACGCTGGTCGAGGCTACGCGCGCCGCCATGCCGCCGCCAGCTTGGGTGCAGCAGCACCTAGATGATGTCATCACGGGTGCGCTGGGATGCTTTTGTGGAGACAGGGGCCCAGTTCTCTCCGTGCTGTCCCGGGCAGAAAGTGTATTGCAGGAAGTGCTGCGCGTCACGCACAAGCGGGCGTGATGATGGCGGGCCAATGGGCTTGCCCAGCACTCACCTGATACGCGCATGGTCTACGCCCCCTCCTCTGTGCAATCACCTCCCCAGAGGCAACGCGTGAGCACCTGACGCGCTCCTTAGTTGCACCTGACGTGCTGCTCAAGCTCCAGCGCATGGGTCAGGTCATGCTTGACGCGGCCTACAGCCCTGTGCGCGACAGCTACGCAGCAGCAAGGGACCGCGGCCTGGAGGTCGCGCTGAGGGCGGTGGGGCAGGAGACGCCACCCCTGGCTTCGCTGCAGCTGCTGCAGCCAGACGCGCTGGAGCGCGTGATCGCAGCCTGGACGCGCCGCCTACAAGCGCTTGTGCTGCTTTCACTCAGGTGGGTGTGCGTGCGCGATGCGTTTCGGGTTGCAGCCGGCCGCTGCGTATTCAGGTCTGGTTGGGAGCACGCAGTCAGAATGTTCTCGAAGAATGCAAAGCATGGCGCAGGCAAGGCGCATGCGTGCAGCACCATGACGTCCCTCTTCCTGATACGTTGGCTGTTGCACACGTGCAGTGAGTACCGGCTTGCACGTGCGGTGTGGCCTGAAAATGTGGGTGACGAGCTGTTCAGCCGGGTAGTGGGGCGCCACCTGCAGCAGCTGGCGCAGTCAGGGCGAGATATCATTGAGGCGCGGAGAGTACCCGAAAAGGTGCGCTTGCGGGAAGCTGCGGATGTGCTCACAGCAGTAATGGAGATGCATGCATGGAAACGGCTGCGTCTCTGTGGCTTTCTTGTCTGGCTTCATAGCTGGCTACTTCTTCTTCTCAAGTCTATTTTCAAGCCCACTGACTTCAATCCTTGGATGCCTTCTCAAGTACATTTACCTGCCACCCCCACGTGCAGCTTTTTGCACTGCTGGACATGCACAGCCTCCTGCAGCAGGTGGTGCCGTCGCTCCTGGTGGTCTTGGCTGGCCCGCCACGCGGCGACGACGAGCACAGCGCCACTCATGAGGATGGGGGAGGTTGCAGCAGCTCTGGTGGTGGCGCCGTCGCCCAGCGTCAGCTGAGCCCGGCCTGCATGGCGCTCCTGCGCGAGTTCTCTGCGCTGGTGGCGCTGGTGGCGCGCGCAGCGGCGGTGCTATTTGGGGAGTACGAGGACGTTGTGGCGCGAGACGCCTCCAAAATCCTGCCTCCGGACGGCACCATACACCCACTCACCGCTCAGGTGCTCAGCTACCTCAAGGTAGGAGGCGAGCCGTGGGCTCAGCAGTGAGGGGCGAGGGGAGCGGATGAAGCAAGGCTGGGACCCAGGGTTGGAGACAGATGCCTGCACCGCCCAAGCGGTGGCCATGTTATCAGCAGGCGCACGGTTTCTGGTACCTCCCGTCACTAGATGTTGTTATATGCACTCCTGCCATTCCAGCGACTGCTGACGTACGAGCGTGCAGCCGAGGTGCTGTTCGGCGGTGACGACGTCGGCAGCATTCGCAGCAGTGGGGGCGGCAGCAACGCGGAGGGCTCCACAGCCGCGGCGCTTGCAGCTGCGGTGTCCCGCCTGATGGCGCGCCTACTGGACAACCTGGAGTCAAAGTCGCGGCAATATCGTGGTGACGCAGCACTGGGGGCGCTGTTCATGATGAACAACGTGCACTATGTGCAGTGGAGCGTGGAGGGCAGCGCGGCCGAGGCGCTGCTGGGCCGCGACTGGCTTGAGCGTCACAAGGACTTGGTGGAAGATTGGGGGGCGCGCTACCAGGACCTCACCTGGGGGCCGCTGCTTGCGCTGCTGCAGGTGACGGGCGGAGAGCATGGGCACAAGGCGTCATTGCTCCAGGAGACTTTTGAGCAATTGTCGTTGATTGTGTGCAACGCAGCCTGCCATTGCCTTGTTCAATGACGCATGCGTAGCCCCAACTGATTTTGACGTGTGCACGCCGCACCCTCTCTGGCCCAGGTTGACGCCCCCACTGACGTGGGCCGTTTGAAGCAGCACCTGAAAGACACATTTTCAACCTTCAACGCTGGGTTGGAGCGCATCTACGCCACTCAGAGCTGCTGGACAATCCCTGACGCCATGCTGCGCGACGCAGTCAAGCGTGTGGTCAAGAATGACGTGATGCAGCCCTACCAGGAGTTCCTGCGCAGGTCGGCATGGGTGGGGCAGGGGCGCTGTTGGGCAGGGGAAGGGCGGCCTGGGAGCTCGAGCAATTTGCAGGAAGCTTCTCAAAAGGGTGACAAGCCAGCTGGTGGATTGGCTAGATGGTGGGGTATTTTTGAAGTTGGGGCAGGGCAAGCCTGCTTGAGTGACCAGCGTCTGGCAGCCGCTCGCGCCTTGACGGGCTTCATGCAATTTGCAGGCTGTTGCACTCCCTTGCAGGTATGCGGACGTGCAGTTCACAACTACGCCTGCCAAGTATATTAAGTTCACAGCTGGGGACATCCAGACCATTGTCGATGACGACCTCTTCTCTGGCAAGGTGCGCTGACAGCCCGCATGTAGTGGACCCGACGCGTTGAGCAAGGGCTCACGGCGCACCTGCCAGCGATGTGCGACTCATCAAACACAAGATCTGCTGCCCATTGCGATGCCCTCTGCCGTAGGTGCTGCCCTCATCTCGACTGGATCTGCGACAGCAGAAGATGGCTGCCATTTTGTAAATGTACGGATCATACTGTAAGCTTTTACACTGTGTCTGGAACGGTTTTGCCGTTGCTAAAAGAACCCTTAGGATAGAAGCAAAAATGGAGCAAGGTGAGCATGACTCATGGTCAGACGAGGCGCATCACAACAGCAAAGAGGGTCAAAGGACAGGCAACGTAGGTAAACAAACAGCGGACCTGCACCCAAACACACTACGACACTGCAGACCCTAGGAAGGCGGCGGACCCGGCAGCGGCCCAGAGCCAGGAGGGCCTGGCAAGCCGCCAGGAGGACCCATCGGACCGCCAATGCCCATGGGCGGTCGCGGCATGCCACCCATGGGGGGACCACCCATGGGTGGCCGCATGCCCATGGGCCCCCCCATCGGCGGTCCACCCATTGGTCCGCCCATCATAGGGGGAAAGCCCCTGCACGGCAGGGCAAGGGGAGAGCGGTGGTGCAGGGCAGAAACACTGTCAGTGACGACTCACAATCCAGAGGCAGTCGGGAGCAAGCACAGACCGCTGGCGAGCAGGGCGGCTGGTAGGCTGCATGCATGGAGTGACACTACAGAGGATGAAGACATGCCACTACGACCTAAGTCCCTGCGGCATCCGCAACTGCGCTATAAACCCACTCTCAAAAGCAATACTCACGGTCGTGGGGGGCCCATCATGCCCATTGGCCCCATACCCATCATGCCAGGCCCTGCAAGGGCGCCATGTAGGAACGCGGTGCTATCAGCAGGGGACCCATGGTTGTAACAAATCGCCTCCCCTGACAAGGGCTCCTAGCTTGATGGAGCCCCCTTGCGGACGAATGTGCTGGTCTCGCAATGCGCAATACATGGCACCGTGACCGCCTTGCAGCCGCCTCCCCGTCCGGTGAATCACACCCAGCGCCACTCACTGGGGCCCATCATGCCGCCACCCATCATGCCGCCGCCCATCATGCCGCCGCCCATCATGCCGCCTGACCCCTGCATGCCCATCATGCCAGGTGGCCGCTGGAAGCCGCCACCCATCGGGCCGCCGCCACCCATCGGGCCGCCGCCACTCATCATGCCACCACCGCCCATGGGGCCGGGGCCGCCTCCCATGGGTCCGGGGCCGCCCGCGGTCATCGGCCCTGGGCCCCCCGGCGCCGCAGCCGTCCCGCCCGACACCTGCTCCTCAAACATCAAGTAGTAGTTTCGCACGTTGGCCTTGTGCTTGTAGCCCTCATTGTGCTGCCGTCGCACAGCTGGGCTGTCATGCGTCAAGAACGTGTCGCAGTAGTCTGGAAACGGTCGGGCGGGGGAGCATGCGCAATTATGCCGTGCTGTGACAAAGGCGGCCAAGTGCCTCTCACACGCGAGTAATGCAGGCACGCAATTGCACCAGGCCACGGCAGTGCTTGTGCACTCCCCGCCGCAAGCGCTGCAAAGCGCCATGGCCGCTGCTTGCTGCACCCCTGCCTTCTGGGCAAGAGCAACGCCTGCGCCTATGAGCTCACCGCAATAGTACCGAGGCATGACAGACTACAATCCCAGGCCCCCGCCTGTGCCGCTGAGCCGTTGTGAACGCCACCAAGCTCGCCAGATCGGCCGCCTTGCTGCTCCTGTGCCCTTACTGGGCCGACGGATGGTCTTGGACGCCTTGTAAGATCTGCAAATCACAGGCCTTGAGCACTGTGGCCCAGACGTGCAGGGAAGGGCCCCGGGTGACCCAAACCAGGCTCGCCAGATCAGCGGGAGTGTATGAGAGTGTACAATAGACGGAGTTTTTTTCAGCCTGGCGCGCACGAAGTGTTGCTGGAAATATCCCGTCGCACCACTGCGGTGCGCGACATGGGGACTCCAGGGCACATGACAGTTCACCGCGTGTACTACGTGCCGGGTAATGACGAGGCCGCAAGGCGGCACCAGAGAGTAGGGTAGGCCAACAGTCTCTGTGAATGTGTGCTGCATAAACGATGAGAGTATACAGGGTGACCGCCTGTGCTAAGTGGGGACATGAGCTGCCACATTGCGCGGATAACAATGCTTCCGTCCCAGAACGTGCCGACCAGCCATGTTGGGGGCAGTAAGGGTACCACAACTGACCCTCCCAAGTGACCTCTTGAGCAGGGTCGGAAGGAAGCATGTACGCACACAATGGACGGGCAGCAGCCGAGCAAACGGCTAGTCTGGTCGCTTGGCAACTGACACCAGCGACAAAACAAACCCAGGCAGGTCAAGGGTTAAGATACCCCATCAAAAGCACGAGCTGTGCAACATCAGCCAGCTGTGAATGGCGCTACAGCAGCATTGCAGGCATGGCAGACCACGCGAACCGTTCATGACGCATGACTGCCCCCAACAATCCACAAGCACAACGCGTACGATGCTGGCATGCAGACACGCAAGTGCCGGCACTTGTGGCCTATGCCGCCGCCCCGGCGGCTGTGACAGAGGCAAATGGGTGGCGGCCTCGTCCTGAAATGCCAGCCACATTTGCAACAGTGGTTGGCTCCCCTAGCTGGGGCGCTTGGGGAATGACATATGTCGATGTGCCCCACGAACACACAGCTGCAGCACCTTCGCAGCTCACCAAGCTCAAGTGTGTGCATATATCATTAAGCTTTGGCCAAGGCACAGTCTTGCATGCATGGACCACACGGGCCAGCTACGCCCTCTCAGGCTAACAGGGCGCACGTAAGCAAGCAGTAGGCCTGCAAAGAGTTGCGGAGCCTGACCCGCTGGGGCAGCGTTGTGAAATTAAAAAAGATGTGTGCCAAGCAGCCTGTCGTTGCCAGCACCAGGCCGCAAGTGACGGTAGCGTTGAGGGCTGAGTGCACCACACACGCTGCGCGCCATCTGGTTGGCTGTCCGAGACTGCGCACAGATATATGTTGTCGCTCACAGCGCTGACCGTGGCCACACTAAAGGCATTGAATTCATGTTCCCAGGGATCTCAATTTCTTACCGCCCCACTCCAGTCCAGCCCGTGCCTGCTGGTGACGAGTAGCGGCGCATGCGTGCGGCGACACGCACGAGCACATACGAGTGTCGGCGCACGCGCAGTTCAAACATAGACCTTGTACCGTACTATGCTGCACGAGGTGAAACAAAGCAGGCATGTTTGCTTGCGGCACGTTCGCGAGTTTGCACTACCCGCTGCCAAACATGTGTGTGATGGTGAAAACCCCAGATTACGTAACCCATGCCCACCAGAGAAGGGGTGACAGTGGATTAGGTAGCAACGCACCCGTTGCGCTGGTCAAGCAGTCTCCTCCACAGCGAGCTTGTTACTCCAGCTTCAACTTTGCTGTTATGATACAAGGACGGGTCAGCTGTGACGTGTTGTGTGTACCATGAGGTCCACGCACCACCACACCCTGCAGGACAACCCTCTGCAGGAACTCCGACGATGGTTGGGTCACTGCGACGCCGCGCATGCGTGCTGATCGTTTAGCACCATTGTGACCGCTATTCACGTCTACACCGATTGACATTTAATAAGAAGATGAAGGGAAACGACTATGTGAAGCAGATCGCGAGCAGCAGCAGCACTATCAGCAGGCGCACATATGAGCGAGCTTCGGCATGTCCTGGGGGTATCAGAGGCTCTCAGTAATCATGACAGCACAGGCCTGGCAGGTACAAGGGCGAATGGGCACCGGAAATCAGACGCTCGCGCCTTTCTTGCAAAACTATCAATAGCTCCCATCGCCCACCCAGACGCCCTCGAAGCTTTAGCGCAAGATGGCTACGACCACCTTCCTGAGGACCTGCAGCGCGCGGTGGCGCTCCACGCGCTTCGTGCAGTGAGGGCGCACAACGCGCTTTGCGCGCTATGCCGCTGCTAAAATGGGTGTGCGCCGCGCCATTTGCAAAGCTGCAGTGGAGGCAAGCACGGTAGTGTTGCGCTAAATGGCCTCTCATCGCCCCACACGCGCACCTCAAACACATAGGGCGGTCCCTTGACCCAGGACCTGGCCGATGTGGCGGCATCCGCAGGTGGGCGGCTACTTCCCAACAGTTTTTTTGATGCTGGGTGGTCTGTTTGGGAGGCCCTGAACCCTTTTTCTCCCTGCTGACCTTTCCCTCACTTGCTGTCGTCCGGCAAGCGGCATAATTTGCGTGCAATCCTGCACTGGAAGCTTGGCCCACCTTGAGCGCTCACACCCATGGGTTGCCTGCAGACGTATGCCTGCAGGAGCTCACAGACGCCCTGATCGTGGAGGCTGGGGAAGTGCACGCAGAGGGCACTGGCATGGCAGAGCAGCGGCGGCAGGAGCAGCAGCAGCAGCAGCAGCAGCAGCAGCAGCGGCGGCATCAAGAGTTGGGGGGCGATATCATTACGCCGGATTCCAAGGAGCCAGTGGAGCTGGAGCAGAGGGGGCTGCTGTCGAATGTTCAGGAGCGGGCGCCACTCAAGGCGCGGAATAACGTTGAGCAGCTGGTTGCAGACTGCGAGCACCCCAACAACGATGGCTTGATCCTCGGGCTTGAGACATTTTCGGAGCAGAAGCAGCAGCAGCAGCAGCAGCAGCAGCAGCAGCAGCAGCAGCAGCAGCAGCAGCAGCAGTGTGTGCGTGAGGAAGCAGCGCCCGCCGCTCGCAGGCAGGGATGCTCGCCAGAGCAGAGCGTGCTCGAGAATCTTACGTCCAGGGGCTGTGCCGCAGCAGCTGGGACAGCCTCAGAATGCACGATTGCTAGCGGCTGTGCCGCTGCTTGTGCTTCAGCGCAGCAGCTTGAGTCGCAAGGCGCTGGAGATGCTCAGGCGGCCGTGAACGGAGGCGACAGCGCTGCCGCCCATACGGTCGTTGCAATACCAGCAACAGCTGCAGCCACAACAGCAGTGGCAGAGGTTTCAAGGGCCGCAGCGACTGAGGCCAAATGCCAAGTGCCTGCAGAAGGAGAGCTGGCTGGCGCCGCAGCAGGAACAGCTGCCGCAGCGGAGCTTTCTGCACGTAGTTTGGCTGCAGTGGCGGCGACTGAGGCAGCGGGCGGCTCCTCAGCATGGCCGGCTGGGGTGGATGGTGCCGGCAATAACAGCACAGCTGCGGCAACCGCGTCGAGTGAGCAGCATCCGGGGGCCTCGCTACCCCCTTTGGCCTGCCTCACAACCCCCTTGAACGCTCTTGATGGGATTATTGAGGACGTCATCCCCGGTGGGTCAGAGCAAGAGCGTTTGATACTCAGTTGTTCTTGCGCTCTTGGTGTGTCTCCCTTCATTCCCAGGTGCCTGCTTGTGAATGGTCCAGAAGCAACGTTAGTCAAACGCATGTGTCCGTACATGCCTCTTGGCAGCCACACTACCAGCCCCAGCTCAATCTCAAGTCTCCCCCTGTGAAATGCCATGCCACCCAACAGAGACAGAGCCGTCCCAAGATGAGGGCCTCTGCCGCTTGACACTGGCTCCCCTCCGCTTTGCCCCGGCAAATGAGGACGCACCTGCAGGGGCGCTGCAGGGCCCGTACCACGGCCCAGGGGCGGGTGTCAGCGGGGTAGGTGGCGGCAGCACGGGCAGTTTGAGCATGGGCGGCGGCAGCAGCTGCAGACGCATGTCTCACGGGGCTTTGTCGCGCTCACCGGGGCGCTTGCCAGAGGTGCCGACGCGGGCAACCAGCTTGCAGGCAGTGCCAACAGGCAGCGCCGGCAGTAAGCCAGGAGTGGAATCCCCCATGGCAGGGTGTGCTGACAACCAAATGGCAACAGCGGCGGCGCCACCAGGCAAGGACGCCAGCGCCTCGGGTTGCCCAGCGCCTGACAGGGCCGTGAACGAGCCCGGGGCAGTGACTGATGCGGCGTGCTGCAACAAGAGAGCCGGCCAAAGGTCTACGTCAACGGCAGCACCCGGTGACCCCCAGCACCCAGACCCGGCACCAGGGAAGGAGCCAGCTGCTGCTCTCAAGCCGATGCTGCAAGCCCCACACGTGCACATGGCAGCTGCTGTCAGGGCTCCACCTCAGCCGGCATCGGAGGCAGGGGGCCTCGCACGCAAGGCTATCAGCAGCAGCCAAGCATGCGTGGCACCTTGCCCTGCCGCAGAAGCAGCAGCAGCGGCGGCGGCGGCGGCAGCAACACCAACCAGACATCTTGGGGCCAACGGTTCCGAAATTTTGTTGCCCGCCTCGACGCACATAAGGGCAGCGCTTGAAGCATCAGGTGGGGAGGAGCAGCCAGCAGCGGTGGTGCAGGTGTGTATGGTGCAA